GGGGGGGTGGGGGGGGGGGGTCACCTGCTCCAGGATGAGCAGGTGTGCAGGTCACTACACGTTCTGGACCCCGTCCAGGCCCTCCAGGGAACCCCCACTTCAGCAAGCACACAGGTGATTCTTTGTCATACAAAAACCTGGGGACCATTGTCTCCCACCCCCTGGAGGGGGCTTTTGAGCCAGAATTCTCTGATTTTGCCTGAGTGTTCGGGATAGAGGTGGCATCACTGCCCTGGGGCCAGGGCAGTGCCCTTCTGTTCTGCCACCTCCTCCGTGGTCAGCTGACCTTCTCGAGGGCACATGCTGCTTCTCACAGCCTCGATCGAGCCTTTGTGCAAGGCTAACCTAGTTCTGGGGAAAGTGGACTGGAGCCTTCTTAGGAAGGGTTCACTCCTCTGGCGTCTTCTCACTTTCTGTGGCTTTGTCAAGGCAGCCCGGCGGCTTCAGTGACCCATCACTTGGGAAATGACAGGAGAACCAAAGGACATGACAGCTCTTTATTCTCTGTCTCTTCACGGGCGTTTCCAGCTTGGGTTAGGCCCACTGTTGACACAGGTAGCTGTCCACAGCCCAGCGGCAGGAGCGGGGGCCCAGCCATCCTGTGTCCCCCGGTGGTGCCCAGAAGCAATTCTTGCTGTCCTGCACCTGTGTGTATGAGACAATGTCCTCATAATATAATTTGATTCGTGTTTTTTTTCTTCATAAGGGAAGGAGTAACGTCTATGAGTTAAAACTTTTCCCTTTTCTGTAATTTGTTGCAAGTGGCAGAACCCCCATCTCACCTGGGTTCAAAGGAATAAGCATCACCTCCTAGAACACAGGCAGCACGTCCAGGCCAGGACCCCAACGTGATGACTGCCGGGGCTCTGGCTCCACCCCTCTGTCACTGTCCATCTGGGCCTTCCTCTGTGTGGGCTTAATTTTCACTTGCCTCTTGGTCACAGGATGGCTGCAGGAGCTCCAGCCATGCGTCTTCATGCAGCCCCATTCAAAGGCAGAAGAGGGGCCCTTGCTCCTCATGGGTCTTTTTAAGAAGCTTTCTCAGAAGCCCCAGCAGACATTTATCGACAGGATTGTGTCCTGTGCCGTGATTAACGAATCACCGGCAATTCAGTGGAAGTTCTCGTGGCAACGACAAGAGGAAAGGGCTTTGGGTCGGCAGCACCACTGGCTGTCCCCTCTCCCTGGACCCCCAGTGCCTACCTTAGAAGGCATAACTCATCGGTGCCATTTGGCACACCTATGAAAACAAATTAGACGTGTGAGTGAAAAAAAACAAAACAAAACAGGAAATCACGATTTCTCTTTGTAACTCCCTTCTCCAGGAAGTCCTCACCGCCACGTTGGATTTGGAGGACGTCAGAAGCTACAGGGCAGAGATGTCATCTCGAAACCTGGCGGTAAGTGCCTATAGACACACACACACGGGATGCGCGTCAAAGACACAGGATTTTTTTTAATAACAGCTTTATTGAGATGTCATTCCCTTACCACACAATTCACTGATTTCGGCACACGATTCAGTGGTTTTTAGTATATTCGTGGAGTCAAGCAGCATCACCACAATCAGTGTCAAAACATTCTCATCACCCAAAAGAAACCCAGACCCATGAGCCGTTACTCTCCGTCCACCTCCCCCAGGGCCCCCGGCAACCATCAGTCTGCATTGTGTCTATGGATTTGCCAATTCTGGGCGTTTCATAGAAATGGAATCATATCATATGTGGCCTTTTGCGTCTGACTTTTTTCAGCGAGAATAATGTTTTGTGGTTCATCCATGCTGTAGCGTGTGTTAGTGCTTTATTCCTTTTTATGGCAGAATAATATTCCACTAAATGGATAGACCACGTGCTGTTTGTCCATTCATCTGTCAGTGCACGTCTGGACCATTTCCACTCTGTGATGAATTGTGCTGCTGTGGACACATGCCGGGGTGTCTGTATGGACGTGTTTGCGTGTCCTTTGTTATATACCTGGGACTGGACTGCAGCGTCCTGTGGTGGTTCCCTGTTTGACTGTAGGAGGCCCTGCCAGACTGTCCTCAGCCACTGCCCATCTCACTTCCCCCCAGCGCTGTGCAAGCGCTCTGGGTTCCCCACATCCCTGCCAGCGTTTGCTACATCCGTCTCTGTTCTGGCCGTCCTGGTGGCCGTGAAGGGTCACCAGTGGGGTTCTGAGCTGTGTTCCCCACTGGCTGCAGTCATCCCGGGGGCCTGTACGGGTACCAGCACTGAGGGGTTGTCCTTCCCAGGCCAGCAGGGTGAGCCCCTACCCCCGCGTGAAGGTGGACTTTGCCCTGTCCTGCCACGAGGACCTGCTGGAGCCGCTCTCTGAGCCCGTTGAGTGGAAATACCACAGTCCCGCCGAGGAGATCAGGTGGAGCCCTGGGGGGGGGGGGGGGGGGGGGGGGGGGGCGGTCCTGTTGTCCCCCGGGGAACCCCCCCCAGTCCCCTGCTGCACCGCCAGGTGGCGCTGCGGGGCCAGCGTGTCCTGGTCTCCAGAGCCTGCACTTGCAGCAGCCGGAACCCCTGGCCCAGGCCCAGCCCTGCCACTCCTCGCCCTGGGCCCTTGGGCACAGAGACGCTGTTCTTGCCTTCCTGTGCCATTTCACACCCGGGCCAGTGATAGCACCTGCCCCCTGGGGCTGTTTTGAGATTTCAAATGAGATCATTCACGCAAAGTGCTTAAAACAGAGACCTGGGCATCGTGCTGGCGGCTCTCATGGGCACTGCGCCCACCTTGGCACCTGCCCCCAGGTGAGCTGTGGACCAGATCAGCAGTTCCCCATCCTAATGCTTCCCATCGTTCCCCAGCCTTGGACCTGCATGCTGGCTCTGGGATTTTTTAAGACGTAGCCAACAGGTAAGGCGTCAGTGTCTCACCAGCTCCCTCTGCTGTTTCTCCCGGTCGGTTTGCGTTTGATCCTGCGGCAGGCTGGTGGCTTTTTTTTAATGCAAGCATTTCGTGGCTCTGCTTCCATTGGGAGGGAGCCTCGGCTACACTAGCCAGAGCCCAAAGGTCCCGCTGAGTTCTGGCTCCATCTTTGGGGTCCTGTCTGATGACACTTGAGTTACGAGACTCCCCGCCTCCTGCCAGTTTCGTGATCGTGCGTGTCTGTAATTCACCATGGAGACCCAGCCTTAGACCCTCCACAGTGGAGGTCCCTTTGCCTTCTAGAAAGTCCATCCTGGAACGTGCAGGGCATCTTCTCCCCTCCCCCAGCGAGAGTATTTTGTGGGCGCTCATTTTTGCAGGGGGAGCCGGGCTCATCTGGGGGCGCATTGCTTCCCAGAGGCCCTGCTCACACCCCCGTCTGGTCGGCCCGTTCCAGGCGGGGTTCTTCCTGCCCCTGAGCGGCGGGCTGGACAGCGGGGCCACCGCCTGTCTCGTCTACTCCATGTGCCACCAGGTCTGCGAGGCTGTGAAGCATGGAAGTAGGTGACGTCTGGGGCCCGAGCAGGTTCCAGGGGGTCAGCCTGTGGGAGGAGCCTGGGGAAACCCAGGTCCTGGGCATCGTGGTGGAGGTCGTATTCAGATGTCGCAGAGTCGCGCCCGAGTCCCAGGGCCTGGGGACAGCAAGGCCGTTAAAGTCCCTTCCAGGGCCCACGTGGCTGTGTCCATCAAGCCACAGGTGCCTGTCGCTGCCACGTGTCGACAGTGTGGCCCCAAGAAAAGAACAGGGGCCGTGGGGTCGGGCAAACCCACATTCACATCCTGTCACTCTGTGCGGTGACATCGGTCATTCCCTCAGTGTCCGCGGCCGAGAAACGGGCATCGCAGGGCTGATCTGGCGAGGTTGCCGTGCGGCGGAGAAGGGATTAAACGGTGCAGGCACCTGGCACACGGCACGTGCGCTTCTGTCCGGTGGTTTTCAGGTCAGGAAGTGCTGGCCGACGTCCGGACCATCGTGAACCAGACCAGCTACACCCCCCAGGACCCCCGGGAGCTCTGTGGCCGCATCCTGACCACCTGCTACATGGCCAGCGAGAACTCCTCCCGGGAGACGTGCAACAGAGCCGGAGATCTCGCCCAGCAGATCGGAAGGTAGCTGGTCAGTGGCATCGGGCACGGCCAGGTGGCGGTGACGGCGGGCAGCTCCCCCCAAGGCCACGTTTGTGGGTCAGTGAGCACCCCAGAGGCGAGCGGTTTCCCTCCTCCCCCTCCTCCAGCTGGGAGCACAGGCAGGCCCTCGCCCCAGCTGGGAGCGTGACCTACCCTCTGCCCCCTTCCACCTGGCGGCCTCTGTGCCTGAGGAAGGTGAAGAGAGGGCATCTTTCCACACAGGGAGACTCGGCTCCATTCAGAATGTTCCATTTATTCTGCCTCCAAGGGAAAAACAAGAGGCTGCCCGTTCTGTATGCGGAGCTCAGTTAAAAGCTGTCCCCGCGCCGCACTTCAGCCCCCAGGGAGATGCCCAAAGGAAGTGAAAGCAGGGACGTGAACAAATATTTACACATTTGGGTCCGTGGCAGCGTACTCACGGCAGCCAGAACAGCTCAAATGTCCATCGACAGCTGAGTAGGTAACCAAAAGGTGGTTACGAGGGGCTGATATTCAGCCTTAGAAAGGAATGTAGCGCTGACACAGGCTACAACGTGGATGAACCTGGAAAGCGTCATCCTGAGTGAAAGAAGCCAGTCACAAAAGCACAGATATTGTGTGATTCCATTTCTTTGAAATGTCCAGAATATGCAGATCCACAGAGACAGAGAGTGGGTCAGTTGTCCTCGGGGGCTGGAAGAGGAGGGTGTGGGGAGAGACCGCTCGTGGGCACAGGGTTTCCTTCTGGGCTGATGGAAAGTTCTGGAACTGGAGGTGGCGTCGTCAGTGTCCTCAATGCTGCTGAATGGGGCACTTGAAAATCGTAAATTCTGTGTTCTGTGTTTTTGTTTTACTGTCTGCACACCTTCCCATTCTCTTCCCAGCCACCACATCAGTCTCAACATCGACCCAGCCGTGAAGGCCGTCGTGGGCATCTTCTGCCTGGTGACGGGTAAAAGCCCTGCGTTTGCAGCTCACGGAGGAAGCAGCCGGGAGAGCCTGGCCCTGCAGAACGTACAGGTGTGCCTCCCAGTTGGGGCCGTTGTCCTCACTCGGGGGCCGCAGGGAACCCGGGGGACAGCCGGCACTGGGCTCAGCAGCCTGCCTTAGAGACCCCGAGTGTGCAGCCTCGCAACAAGGATGGGGGTCTGCGTGTGTGTGCGTGCGTGTGCGTGAGAGTGTGCGCGTCAGCGTGAGGGTTTGTGAACGTGGCGTGTGTGCAAGTGCGTGCATTGTCTGCATCTTTGGGGGGGCGGCTCAGATGCAGCCCCACCTTCCAGGCGGCCGCAGGGGAGCTGGACCCTGCGTGGTCTGTGGAGGGAAAGAAGGGGCCTGGGCTACAGCTGCCTGGGTCTGTCCTGTCTCTCTGTCCCCTTTCTGCGGGTGCGGGTGACCTTGCCCAGCACTGCAGGGAGTGACAGGAGGGACCACGGTCTCCCCCGCTGGCTTTGCAAGGGAAAGAGGGGGCCTGGGCTACAGCTGCCTGGGTCTGTCCTGTCTCTCTGTCCCCTTTCTGCGGGTGCGGGTGACCTTGCCCAGCACTGCAGGGAGTGACAGGAGGGACCACGGTCTCCCCCGCTGGCTTTGCAGCCCTGTCTCGCCGCGGCCTCGGGCTTTGGTCCTTCCATCTCTGTGGCTGAGCGCAGGAGCCCACGGTGTGGGTGAGGGGGCCACGGGCTCCAGGCCGCTCTGGACGCTGGAAGCTCCTGCATCACTTAAACTCTCCTGTCCTCCTGAGGTTGCTGGGGGAGCCCCTGCCCCGAGCTGCAGGGAGGCGGTGTTAGCATGCACGTCCCCCACCCCCGCCCCACGCGGATGACGTTCCCCTCCTGTGGTCCAGGCGCGGGTGAGGATGGTCATTGCCTACCTCTTCGCTCAGCTGAGCCTCTGGTCCCGGGGCGCCCCAGGCAGACTTCTCGTGCTTGGATCTGCCAACGTGGATGAGAGGTGTGTGTGCCCTTGCTCTGGATGAGTCCCCTGGTTGACCCACGGCCACTCCGGCCGGGTCTGTGTCTCCCTTAGCTCCTGATGCATCTTTGAGAGCAGCCAAGCGGGGGAAGAGGCACAGGGGTCAGGTGAAAACGATGATCTCTTCCGGCCTGTAAATCCCGGCCCTTGCCCACGGACCGGACCCTGTTCCTTCCGTCAGCCATCCATTTAACGGGGCAGGGAGTGATGTTACACCCACCTCGGGGTTGCTTGAAGGAGCCCCGCTCAGGGCGGCACAAGTTTTAATCGCTCCTGTCTGGGACCCAGGGGCTCTTACACCCCAGCTTTGCACCCTCGTGGCAGCCTGGAGGGCTGAGTGGTTGGTCTTTCTCTTGAAAAGTGGAGAGAGGTCAGCCGTGTGAGTGCAGGTGGGACAAAGGCCAAGCAGTACCCACAGCACGGGTCAGCAATGGCCTTGGAGGTGGGGGGCTTGGGATGCGGGTGGAGAGCTGCGGTCATCCAGTGGTCCAGCGGGAATAGGGTAGCGGTGGTGGTGGGCTGCAGAGGGACGGACGCCTCGAAGGGGTGAGTGTCCTGGGGTTGAGGTGACAAGTGGGCACAAAGTCGGTGGCTCCAAGACGCAAATGAATTACCTTACAGTTCGGTAGGACAGGGGTTCAACACGGATCTCCCTGCGCCAGAGTCAGGGCGGCACAGGGCCGGTTCCTTCTTCAGGCTCCGGGGGAGAAGCTGATCCTCGCCTTTTCCAACTCCCGCGGGTGCCTGCGTCCTTTGGCGTGTGGCCCCTTCCTCTGTCTGCAGAGCCCATGGTGCAGAATCTCTGCGCCTTTCCCGTGGCCCCAGCTCCCACTGACTGACGCCCCCCGCCCGCCAGTTCTCTCTTCCACATTTAAGGACCCTTGTTTTTTTGTTTTTGGTTTTTTGGTTTTTTGGTTTTTTTGCGGTACGCGGGCCTCTCACTGTTGGGGCCTCTCCTGCTGCGGAGCGCAGGCTCAGCGGCCGTGGCTCACGGGCCCAGCCGCTCCGCGGCATGTGGGATCCTCCCGGACCGGGGCACGAACCCGTGTCCCCTGCATCGGCAGGCGGACTCTCAACCACTGCGCCACCAGGGAAGCCCTAAGGACCCTTGTGATTGCATTTAGGGCCCACCCCATAATCCAGGGTAATCACCCATCTCAAGGTCCTCAACCTCGTCTCATCTGCGGAGTTGCTTTCACCCTGTATGTGTATGTATACAGGTTCCGGGTATTAGGATGTGGGCATTTGGGGGCCACTCTGCCCACCGCAGGAGGTGTCTGGCAGTGGGGAGGTGGCCCTGCTTCTGTGGGCTGAGCGTCCATGCCTGAGGTCCTGCCCCTGCCTCCTAAGGACCTCCATCCCTCAGCTCCGCACTCTGCTGGCCCCAGCCCTCCCCTCCCAGACGGGCCGCTTGCAGGTGGCTGCTGGTCAGTCCCCAAGCTGCTTCCCGGCCCAGACGTCTCGTCTGGCTTGCTGGATACTCCTCCTTGGCTGTCCATAGCCTCTGCCCCTTCCCCAATCTGCCCCAGCACATCAGGCTTCTCCAAGACCCTTGAATCTGCCAAGCTCTGGCCCCAGGGCCCTGGAAGGAGCAAGTCTTCGGATGCCCAGGGACTGGATGGCCAGGCCCCCAGGTTCATGGAATCTGCAGCCCCTCGGGTCTGCTGCATGGGAACTGCACGTTCTTTCTCCTGGTGCAGCCTCCTCGGCTACCTGACCAAGTACGACTGCTCCAGCGCAGACATCAACCCCATAGGCGGGATCAGCAAGACGGACCTGAGAGCCTTCGTCCAGCTCTGCATGGAGCGCTTCCAGCTTCCCGCCCTGCAGAGGTGCGTGTGCGCCCACGAGGCCTCAGCTGTGGCCCCTGAGCCACCGGATATGCGTCTCCGCACAGCCCCGGGCCACCCTCGCCCCACTCAGCCACCTTCCATAGCTCCCATCTCCTGATGGAAACAGTCCTGCCCTTCAGGGGCGCTTGCGGTCCCGAGACCGGGCACCCCCTTCCTTCCCGTCGGTGCTGCCCTGGCTCTGGCCGGATCAGGCACAGCTGCTGCTTCCCTCTTCCCCTCACCACCGTTCTCCCACCGTCGTAAGGCCGGGAGGTCTGTGTATCCCTCCGTCTTCGGGCTGAGCAGTGCCTGGGGCTGTCATGGTATCTGTTGAGTTAATACGCAGGTGTTGTGACTGACCTCTGTGTGTCTCGGCCACAGCATCCTGGTAGCGCCGGCCACTGCCGAGCTGGAGCCCTTGGCCCACGGACGGGTGTCCCAGACTGACGAGGTAACGGCGGTGGCTTTGTCACTGTGCATCTTCCCCCACCTCCCTGCTGCTGGGTTCCTTCCCGGCCTCCTTTCTGCCCCAGCAAGCCATGCTCCATCGCTGGGTCCCGGCCTGGGAGCCCAGCCCACGGCCCCAGTGGCCATGGCTCACGGCCCTATCCGCTCCACGGCATGTGGGATCTTCCCAGACCGGGGCCCAACCCCGTGTCCCCTGCATCGGCAGGCGGACTCTCAACCACTGCGCCACCAGGGAAGCCCTAAGGACCCTTGTGATTGCATTTAGGGCCCACCCCATAATCCAGGGTAATCACCCATCTCAAGGTCCTCAACCTCGTCTCATCTGCGGAGTTGCTTTCACCCTGTATGTGTATGTATACAGGTTCCGGGTATTAGGATGTGGGCATTTGGGGGCCACTCTGCCCACCGCAGGAGGTGTCTGGCAGTGGGGAGGTGGCCCTGCTTCTGTGGGCTGAGCGTCCATGCCTGAGGTCCTGCCCCTGCCTCCTAAGGACCTCCATCCCTCAGCTCCGCACTCTGCTGGCCCCAGCCCTCCCCTCCCAGACGGGCCGCTTGCAGGTGGCTGCTGGTCAGTCCCCAAGCTGCTTCCCGGCCCAGACGTCTCGTCTGGCTTGCTGGATACTCCTCCTTGGCTGTCCATAGCCTCTGCCCCTTCCCCAATCTGCCCCAGCACATCAGGCTTCTCCAAGACCCTTGAATCTGCCAAGCTCTGGCCCCAGGGCCCTGGAAGGAGCAAGTCTTCGGATGCCCAGGGACTGGATGGCCAGGCCCCCAGGTTCATGGAATCTGCAGCCCCTCGGGTCTGCTGCATGGGAACTGCACGTTCTTTCTCCTGGTGCAGCCTCCTCGGCTACCTGACCAAGTACGACTGCTCCAGCGCAGACATCAACCCCATAGGCGGGATCAGCAAGACGGACCTGAGAGCCTTCGTCCAGCTCTGCATGGAGCGCTTCCAGCTTCCCGCCCTGCAGAGGTGCGTGTGCGCCCACGAGGCCTCAGCTGTGGCCCCTGAGCCACCGGATATGCGTCTCCGCACAGCCCCGGGCCACCCTCGCCCCACTCAGCCACCTTCCATAGCTCCCATCTCCTGATGGAAACAGTCCTGCCCTTCAGGGGCGCTTGCGGTCCCGAGACCGGGCACCCCCTTCCTTCCCGTCGGTGCTGCCCTGGCTCTGGCCGGATCAGGCACAGCTGCTGCTTCCCTCTTCCCCTCACCACCGTTCTCCCACCGTCGTAAGGCCGGGAGGTCTGTGTATCCCTCCGTCTTCGGGCTGAGCAGTGCCTGGGGCTGTCATGGTATCTGTTGAGTTAATACGCAGGTGTTGTGACTGACCTCTGTGTGTCTCGGCCACAGCATCCTGGTAGCGCCGGCCACTGCCGAGCTGGAGCCCTTGGCCCACGGACGGGTGTCCCAGACTGACGAGGTAACGGCGGTGGCTTTGTCACTGTGCATCTTCCCCCACCTCCCTGCTGCTGGGTTCCTTCCCGGCCTCCTTTCTGCCCCAGCAAGCCATGCTCCATCGCTGGGTCCCGGCCTGGGAGCCCAGGGCTCAGCGTCATCCATTGCTGGCCTTCAGTGTTCAATTCGGGTCTCTCGAGGTTGGAGCCGGGAGGGAGGTGATGAGGCGAGTGGGGGTGGGGGGGCTCGGTTCCATCTCCAGCAGAAGTTTTAACCTGTCCCCCGGCGCTGACTTGCTGTCACTCACGAGACACATCTCTTTTGTCCCCAAGGAAGACATGGGAGTGACCTACGCGGAGCTGTCGGTCTACGGGAGGCTCCGGAAGGTGGCCAAGATGGGGCCCTACAGCATTTTCTGCAAACTCGTCTACGTGTGGAAGGACGTCTGCACCCCCAGGCAGGTAAGCCACGTGCAGTGTCCTCAGGGAGTCGGCAGGTAAGGTCACCTTGTGGGTGGATTTGACTCAGGAGCAGGTGGCCACGGTGTGACGTTAAAATGAGAACACACTCTCTCTCTAAGGAGCTACGGTCCAGTTTTAGGCTCCCAGCAGCCCGGGCCTTCCTTCTGCGCTGGCTGGGCCCCATCGTAACAAGCAAGCTCCTCCTCCTTTTTGGGGGGGCAGAGGGCAAACTCTGAGGTTGGAATATCGCTGCTTTTCTGCGAGTTGTCAGGCTCATTAGGGCCGAAGCCCACAGACAGAGTGGTCCCCGCAGAACCGCCTGGAAGCCTCGTGAGATACATCTTCCCGGGACCCCTGACCGGGTCTCCTGATGCAGCTTCCGGGGTGCTGGAGTCAGGAGCCCGCGTCTTCAAAGCTCATCCCGCTGCCCCAGCCCGAGCAGTGGCACCGGTCCACTCCTGCCTTTCGGGGGGTTCCAACGCAGCCGTGTTGCAGGGGGTGGGTGCTGTTAGCTGGCACAGCCCAGGGCAGTGCTGCCAGGAACACCAGCCTGGGGTCTTTCCGGCTTTGCCAGCATCAGGCCCTGAGCATCCCTCACCTCCCAGGTGGCCGACAAAGTGAAGAGGTTTTTCTCCAAGTATTCCGCGAATAGGCACAAAATGACCACACTGACCCCCGCGTATCACGCCGAGAGCTACAGCCCAGACGACAACAGGTTCGATCTGCGGCCGTTTCTGTACAACACCCGCTGGCCTTGGCAGTTCCGCTGCATAGAAACTCAGGTACATCAGGCAGAAATGGTTTTTCTCCCTGTCAAAGGTCTGTTGAGGGAATATCAGCTCACGTCCATTGAGGACTGAGAAGCTTTTTAATATATACGGTGGCATTTTTTAGCGTCCGTCTTTCTGCAAGGGATCCAGTATGTTTCAAGTCAATCAGAGCATGAGCTATTTTTGGCTGTGCTGAGGATGCTAAAATTAGGGGCTACAACACTGTGTCAGTGTGGTACCAATCACTGTCACTTCTAGACTACCAGGGTATCCAACTGGCTTCACATCTTCTAAACCATCTGTTTTTCCTTTTTTCCCCTAATTGCCTAATAATAGAGCCATCTTGCCTGAGAATTCAGGCTTCTTTTATACTAACAGCGGAGGGCCTGGAGTCAAACATTTCCTGGCCCCGGAGGGGATGATTTTTTTCTTCCTCCCTGCAGCCATTCATAGGTGGGCCTGGTCAGGATGTTTCCTGTGAGCTAAACAAAGGTATTTTAGCTTAATGTTCATGACCTGGGAGGCGGGGTTGGGCCAGAGATGGGCCATTTTGTATAATTTAAGCTTATAGGCAATATCCCTTTAGTGACGAACTAGGGGCTGGAGCTAGTCGGTGGGGAGCCGGGAGCAACCGTGAGGAGATGATGTGCAAACTGAGATGGGACTGAAGCAGCGCTGCAGGTCCGTGGCCGTGGCCCTCATCCAGGGGTCGTCAGGCAATGTCTGGAGACATTTTTGGTTATCATACCTGGGGAGGGGTCTGTGCTGCTGCATCTAGTGGGCGGAGTCCAGGGATGCCGCTAAAACACCCCGTAGTGCACAGCACAGCCTTCTCCCCCTGCCAAGTATTAGTCAGCCGTGGGGCCTCGCTTCCACCAGTACGCACTCAGGAGTGGGTTCCCTCACATCAGGCCTGGGGTTCAGAGGGTGTGCAAAGACCCTCAAATGGAGAAAAACACATGTGGGTAAAGATGGAACTCACCTGGAATCTTCTAGCCCAGCAGTGACCCCCCGTGCCCGGGCCAAGGCACATCCTTCCGGACTCTGGATCCACCCACATCTCATCACTGAAGGTGCTGTCGGAGGACCTGCTTTTTCAGTCCCGTGACAGCGCCACTCTTTCGGGTGGATCGGTGCATTGTGACGGCCTAGCCGTTCAGGTCCTCGTGGTGACGCTGCATCCTCTCTTCTAGGTTCTCCAGCTGGAGAGAAGACAGCATCAGGCCCTGGACGGCGTGGACTGAGCCCGGGGCCTGCGCAGAGGGCTCCCCTCCCGCGAGAATGCTCCTGCTACGTCTGCCTTGCTGGTGACTGTGCAGGAGTGGCTGGCGTGTCGACAAGCCCCGCCTGACATATTTCAAGGAGAGGGATCTTTTCGGTCTAGTTTCTTTAAAAAAGGCTGAAATACAAGAGGATGCGATTTTAAACCCTCTTCTTGTTTTTTTAAATTAATTTTTATTGGCGTGTAGTTGATTTACAGTGTTCCGTTAGTTTCTGCCGTACGGCAGAGTGACTCAGCCATCCATATACATACATCCGCTCTCTTTTAGATTCTTTGCCCATAGAGGGCATTACAGAGTCTGAGTAGCGTTCCCTGTGCTGTACAGCAGGTATTGGGATGGACATACACAGACTTATATATATAAACCCTCCCCTCTTCCTGAAGCGAGCGCTTTCCCCAGCCCCTCTGGCCCTTGTGCAGCATCTCCTCTGAGTGTCACCTGAGCTGAAGGAGGATATTCCAGGCGGGGATGGAGGAGGCCCTGGGGGGTGGAGGGTGGTTCTAGAACGACTGTCCCCACCCGTCACCCACCCTTGCAATCTTCAGTAGTTTTGCAAAGCAGCCCTTTCTCCTTTTCTTCCTCTGTGCTTGTGTATGATTCTTCTCACTGTAAACAGGCCCATTTCCCTGATGTCTCTTTCCTGGTCACCGTCATTGTCATTCCGAGGACCTAAGCGTGCAGGGATGTAGATTTGCCTCCATCCCGTGCCACCAGGGAAGGCTTCACATGCTCTCGGGGCAGTCTGCGCGGTCACCATCCCTGCCCCCCACCATGTGCTGCCCTAAGGAAAGACCCCCCTGGGGGGCCGGCTTCCTGCCCCCTCCATGTGCTGCCCTAAGGAAAGACCCCCCCGGGGGGCCGGCTGCCTGCCCCCCCCATGTGCTGCCCTAAGGAAAGACCCCCCCGGGGGGCCGGCTGCCTGCCGTCCTTGCCAGCCTTCTCCCATGTCAGTCTCACCATCCTGGGTCAGCACCCAGGTTAAGTGGGATGATGCCAGTGTGGGCGGGCGGAGAGAGCTGGGCTCTGGTTGCGGGCCTTGCGGAAGGTCCAGCCTTGGGCCCGAGCAACACAGCTCAGCCCCCATTCTGCTGGAACACCAGGAATTCCTAAGAATCCCCAGGGATATTTACAAACCGCGTCAGCTTGGACTTTCTGCGTGTGTGTTACCACAAGCCTTACCCAAGAAAAGCACCTGGTGAACAAGGAAAGGAATTTCCTGATGGACGTGCTGAGCGGTCCGGGGGAGTGACAGCTTCAGGCCTGGCTGGACCCAGGGTTTGTGCCATGTCACTAGAACTTGTTTCTCTCTTCCCCTGACCCTGTCTCTGTGTGCTGGCTTCCTCTTGTGACTGCAGTCTTGCCAGCTCCCAAGTTCAGATCCAGCAGGAGATTAGCACATGTGCCTTCCCCGTTTCTTCAGTACAGGCCCTGGATTAGCTCAGTTGGGTCATATGCCCATTTCTGAACCAGTTAGCTACTGCCCCGAGGTCCTCCAAAGAGGACCACGGGGTGTTATCAGAATTAGGAAAAATAGATGGTGAGTTCTCCAAACAGGAACGGCCACTGCACACACCCTCGGGCCCTGATCCGGGCCCAGGCTCTGGACGATGGCTCCTTGGATCTAAGTCCACGTTTCCTGGCAATGCTACTGCAGGCCCTGGGCCTGCAAAGCACATGCACAGACCTTTCCTCAACTTCCCACAGTAACAGCAACACCCAGGGGCGTATTAATAAGATGCCAGGCTTGGGCCTAGGGAAGGGAACAAGGGCACACGCCCTCTTTCCCCGAAGGCTGCCGCCATCTTTGTATCTCCCACCCCCGGAATCCAGAAACCCTCCCGCAGGCTCGGGGACAGAATAACCCCTTCTCCCTCACCCCACCGAGGGCCACTTTTCTGTGATGTAAAGTCACTCGACATAAAGACAACCTTTTACAGCACGTCCTGCTTGCCGTCTGGGGTCCTTCCAGAAGAGAGTCTTGGCCTTGTGGACCCAAATCCCAGTGCTATGGTCTGAATGTTTGCATCCCCCCAAAATTCATACGGGAAATTCTAACCCCCCCATGCGATGGTGTCAGGGGGTGTGGCCTCTGGGAGGTCATGGGGGCCTGAGGGTGGAGCCCCATGAATGGGATCGCTGTCCTTATAACAGAGGCCCCAGGCAGCCCCAGGCAGCCCCTGGCCCCTGTGCCACGTGAGGACCTAGCAAGAAGTCTCTGACCCAGCGTGGAAGAGGCCCCTCCCCCGGCCCTGCCGGCACCTGGTCTTCACTTCCAGCCTCCAGAGCTGTGAGCAGTGCCCTTTTGCTTATGTGTCACCAGGGCTGTGGCATCAATATTTTGTTACAGCAGCCCGCACGTACGTACTAAGACCCCCGTGAGGGTGTTTCTCCTAAAACAAAGGAAAAGTTTACGCTTCAAGGAGAATTCAGTCCTTCACCTTCGGGAGAATCTGGAAAGAAAACAGAACAGCAGTAAAAGCTACTCTTCGAGCCGATGTGGCCCAGGTATGCTGATGAGTATTTCCCTAACTTGAGGACAGTTTTGAGGACGGCCGGCGAGTGGATGTGTGCGTCCCGTGCGGGCAGCCCTCCCTGACCTTGTGGGTCTCATCCCAGCATTTGGCCCTCGTGGGTGGTGACACGGATGAGCTCAGGAGGACATGGCCGTGGGTTCTGCAGCCTAGGGGTGACAGCTCACACAGTGCTGTCACCTTCTGGGATGGCTGTCACCCAGGGTGATGGCCAGGCCCCTCGGTGCAGGTGTCGGCACCCCACGGGTGTCCCCCGGGGGGACGTGCAGCTTACTGACACCCTGGGGAGGAGACGTCCTCCTGTCTGCCGCCCCCTTCCCCAGCCACGCGCACCCTCCTGAGGCCGCGGCTCCTGCACCACGTGTGCTGGGAGTGCGGTGGAGGGCTTCTGCTCCAGGGAAGGGAGATGGAGGGAGCGTGGACACTCAGGACGGCCAGTCGTGGGGTCAGTGGCAGGGTCCTGAGCATTGTCCTGCAAGGGCCTCCTGCACTCAGGGACCCCAGGACCCTGGCCGCTGGTCATCCAGGTATAGGGTAGTGTAGTGTCCCCCAGCTATAGGAAGTGTCCCCCCTGCTATAGGGTAGTGGCCCCTCAGTTAAAAGATAGTCACCAGAGCTTGGCTAATGAGGAGCTATGGGTTCCTGTCTGCAGCTCCAGCTCGTCGTGTGGGGTCCTGGCTCTTTTCTGAGACCCAAACATAGACAAGCCCGCCCACCCCAGCTCCTGGAGAGGGCAGTGAAGCCTCATGTCAAACCCAGAGCTAACTCGGAATCTCCTGGGGTCACTCCTGAGAGCAAAGACTCAGTAGCTACCTTCCCCTCGGTTGGACGGTCGTACAAGCTTTGGCTGAAACATTTCACTCAACAATCAAAGCAGCCTGGGGGACCACACGGAGACCTGTCACTGCAGCATGAGCTACTGACGCAGCCAAACCCGCACCAACTGGACGTTGCCCACCCCGCCCCCAGACAGCACTGGTCAACAAATCTTTATCTCGCTGGAATTCTAAAGACAGAAGGAGAGAGTTTTGAGAGAGAGAGTACATCCCACGAGGTCAATGCATTAAAAGTCAAGGAAGAAAAATATAGAACACTGTATTCAGACCCTAGAACATGCTGGAAAAATGGGCAAAGGACAAGGGTGCGCCATTTCCAAGGACCAGTCCACATCTGAAAGGAATTTAGCAGCATTTGTTATCCAAAACTGAAAATAAGCACAATTTTAACAGTAAGTCAGAGGTTAAAATCGACTTTCTGAGGTTGGTGAGTGTGAGTTCACAAACTTTCTGAAGGGTAACTCAACAGGTTTCAAAAGGCTCAAATGTGTGCATTTGGTTTCATATACATACACACAAAAAATTCTGCTTCTGGCTACTTGTCCTCGGTTTTCCGCAAAGAGGAGGCTGGGAAGGGAACTATTTGGGGGTGCTGGCTTGGGGAGCTCTGTCCCGCTGGCAGCGAGGCATAGTTACCACCAGGAGATGGTAGGGACTGTGCCCCAGGGACACGGATCCACTGGGAGCCCCCCATCCTTCAGAGGTCCACCCTCTCCACCTTGCCAGTCAGGGGCACCTTCCCATCCTCACCATCCTCTGTTTCCTCGCCCAGGGCTCTTTGGAGGACCACCTTGAGGGGCTCCCTCAGCCGCTGTCTCTGAAGGGCCCCAGTGAAAAAGTGAGTAGCAGGGTTAGCCGTGCTGTTGATGCAGGACAGGAGGATGCAGACGTCGCTGAGAGTGTGATTTTGCATGTCCGCTACGAGGAACCTGATGATGCAGAGGGGCAGGCCAAAGAGATAGAAGCCTGGGACCGAGAACAGAAGGACCAGGTAGAGCTTCTTGGGCCAGTATTGCTGGGAGATCGCCTGGACTTGGGGAGCAGCGGCTGACTGGACGTACCCAGGATGGAGAACAGCGGGAAGCCCCACATGGCGGTGGCGGTCATACGTGCAGGACAGAACTTTGTCCTTGGGATGAATAACTGACCACAGGCACGACCTCTCAGTATGTTAACCGAAAAGATCAGAGTCCCGAGCAGGGTGCTCACATTGCCTGACAGGTGCTTGGGGCAACATCACCGATACCAAATAGGGAAGGAGGAGGACAGACAGCGCTGGAAGCTGATGGCAGTCGTGATGCCCAGGCCAGTGAAATAGAAAAAGAACCTCAGGACCATAAAGGTGTCATGCAGGTGAAAGGAATAGTGAAGGAAAAGCATCCGGATTTGGAAGTCTCTAGTTGCAAATTTGTACCATTACACAATGTACACCCAATTCCTCCAGCCCCTGGTAGACACCATTGTACTGTTTTCTGAGTCTAATCTGAGCCCTTATTGAGCCACGGTTGCTGCAGCTGCCCATCCACCGCCTCCCAACCTTGCTCCCTCCAAGGCCCTGGCAACCAGCCACACTGTTTGCTCAAGAGCTCACATACCTCCTTATTTCAGATCACTTCTCCCTGCATGCTGC